TATTTATAGTAGAGACGGGGTCTCGCTCTTGCTCAGGCTGGTTTTGAACTCCTGACCTTGAGCAATCTGCCCGCCTTGGCCTCCCAGGATTATTTAACATAATAGATAATTGGGAAATAATTTATTAAAAGTCTTTAGAAACCAGAGAATCACTAGTACCACTAGGGCTGAATAAATAAATTCAAAAGCTTGCAAACCAGACAACTACCTATGAAATATTCTAATCTGAGCCTCCTGCTATCCTGAAAGGAGAAAGTAACCACCTAGAACAACACTCCAAAGCCCATAAAACTGGAACAATTATGGAAACATGTGTCCTTATTGTACAAATCTACCGTTACAAGGTTTATCTTTCTCATGACACCAGTCGTGGCTTACAAGCCAAAGAATCCTTACCTGACTCATCTGTCCATGGAGGGGGATGGCCGTGAATCCGAGATTTCGGAGTAGCAAAGCTGTTCTCTGAGTATTGTTACAGGTGCTACAGAATATCATAAATGAGTTTCCAGCCAGTTCATTTAGAATGTAAACCAGGTAGGTATCCTAAGTTACAAACCCAAAACAATATATATATAATTGAACCTGGAAAAAAGAGTTAGAGACGTGGCATATACACTAAGTAAAACTAAGCCAATAGTTGCTTCTCAATTATCCAGACCCCTCGCTGCCAGTTTTACTCTTCTTAACCAGTGTTATCCCTGTGGGCCATGCCTCCCCCATGCAGCCTGAAGCCAAGCACAGGGAGATCTGTACTCAGCCAATAGGAAAAGTCCTTATGTCAAAGCACAAAACTAGGATCACTGTCCTAAATAAAGGCCACATAATAAGCAGAGGAAAAACTACCTCTTGTATGGAGATGGGAAGGAATGATGATATGATCACATCATGAGTTTGTTATTGTGGTTTAATATGTTGTGAATTCCTGGAATGTTTGACTTTCAGTGATAAATATAAGCGCGATATGCACTCTAAAGCAAACAGAAAAAAATCCAGCACAGCTCTCAGCTAATCAAGAGTTGACACATTTTCAGATGCTTTGGTGAGAAGGAGAGGGAGAGGCAAGAATGATCAAAGTAAACACTTTACCTTGAACTTAGAGGGAATGAAAAGATAATACTGCTGTAATTTCTCAACTGTCTGGTATTTAGAGGAAACGGCACATTTCACAGGATTCTTCAGAGCTGCTCGTTGAAGCTTTTGCACCTGAAGAAAGAAAATCCAGACTAGCATACTGAACTGATTCCTAAGTGCTCTTTTTCCTTTTTTACTTATTATTACTATTACTGTTAGTACTGATTTTATGTATCTATATATATATGTATCTATATATATATGTATATATATATATATTTTTTTTTTTTGCAAATTCTTCCAGATCCTGATATGTACCAATTCCTATAAAGAAAAAAACAGAAGTCCCAGCAAATTCACCTTCTTGGTCATGGTAGCAGAGAAGAGAAATGTTTTCCGATCTCGGGGAATCACTTTAAGGATCTTGTCAACCTGAGGCACAAAAAGGGAAGGATACAGATATAACATTTAGACTGGAAAGCTGCACAATGTCCAGATAATGAAGGAGGTGGAAACTAACAAACTAAGGACATCACAATGGGAATTTGGGACTCAAAAATTCAATTCAAGGCCGGGCGCTGTGGCTCACGCCTGTAATCCTAGCTCTTGGGAGGCCGAGGCGGGCGGATTGCTCAAGGTCAGGAAGTTCAAAACCAGCCTGAGCAGAGGAGACCCCGGGTCTCTACTATAATGAAAAACTATGCCAAACTGATATATATATACAAAATTAAGCCGCATGGTGGTGCATGCCTGTAGTCCCACTTACCGGAGGCTGAGCAGAAGACCACCAAGCCAGGAGTTGAGGTTTCTGTGAGCTAGGCTGACGCATCACTCACCAGTCTGACAACAAGCGAGACTCTGTCTCAAAAAAAAAAAAAACAATTATTCAGCTAAAATTAACAGAATATTACTATTTGACACCATACCAGATCTAACAAAAAAACATACATCTCAAAAAGAGAGAAGTTAAATACATGTTACAAACTAACTAAAGAAAGTCAAAATACATATAATCACCTAATAAGCTGAATGGGCTATCAAAGAAAAAAAGATATTCAAGGTACATTAAAGGCTAGTCAAATGAAATGAACAGAAAAATATGGTTTGATATTTGCTCCTCTCGAAGTCAGATCAGACTATATTCTAAAGACAAAGGGTGCTGAGGAACGCATGGCAGAACACCAAGATGAGCAGCAAGGATGCTGAATTAACTGACACTGACGTAGTGCTTTACCATAAAAAGATGGCATGAATCAAATTTGAAAGAGGGGCCTGTGATTCCCTAAAGTAGGAAGAAATCAAAAATCACCTCTGTCTCAAAATCCATGTTCAATATCTCGGCTTCATCCATGACTAAGATTTGAAGCTCTTAAGTTGAAACCTTTTGTATTATTCCAAGTGGTCAATCTAGTCGCGCCAGGAATGCTAACCAGGAAAAAAAAGGGGTTGAAGAGAGTAACAATTTTCAGAGCAAGGACAAAAAGAAAGAAATAAAATTTATCTACTCCGCCTACCAACAAATAGTTTAAGAAATTAAAAAATTAAACAGAACTACAAAATCCTGTTCCTCAAAGTCTTTCCACCCAACATTAGCAGATTTTCTCCAATTCATCAATGCCAGTGTCTTTCACCTTTGCCAATTACTCACCTATTACTATATGTGGTTTTTTTGCCAGGGCCAAAGACTGAGACATTGAATCAATTCCACCCACAATCACAGCTATAGAAATAAAAAGAACACAGAAACAAGACCCTTAAGTTTTTTCCATAGTCCATGGAACATCTTTTAAAACCAATGCTAGATTTCTACTTAAATTTGTTCTTCCCTTACAATTAATACTTTTCCTAAAGCTAAAATACATCAGCTCTTTAGGTCAATAACTTATACTAGTAAATCTTTCCTCCATTCTCCTTTTTTTTTTTTTTTTGAGACAGATCTGCCTTGGTTGCCCAGGCTAGGTGAGTGCCGTGGCCTCAGCCTAGTCCACAGCAAACCTCAAACTCCTGGGCTCAAGCGATCCTACTGCCTCAGCCTCCCGAGTAGCTGGGACTACAGGCATGCACCACCATGCCTGGCTAAATTTTGTCATATTTTTAGTTGGCAATTATTTCTTTCTATTTATAGTAGACGGGGTCTTGTTCTTGCTCAGGCTGGTTTCGAACTCCTGACCTCAAGCAATCCACCCGCCTCGGAGTCTCAGAGTGCTAGGATTACAGCCGTGAGCCACTGCACCTGGCCCCTCCATTCTCCTTTCACACTCACTCTGCACTTGTGTAGGATTCCTCACCTCTCAGACACTTACCACTCTGCACTCCGATAGAGGACCCCAGGGCTTCAAACTGCTCTGAGATCTGAAAAGCCAGCTCCCGAGTGGGAGTGAGAACCAGGGCAAACAAGCGCTGGGGTGTCTCCAGCAGCGCATTCAGAATGGGCAAAGCAAAGGCCCCTGTTTTTCCAGAACCAGTTTCTGCCAGCCCAATGATATCACGACCTACAAGAAAAAGAGAAGGCTTAATACCAAAGAAATTCTCTCTGTACTATTTCCATGTTTTCTACAATGACACAATAGACACTAAGTAAATATCTGATGAACTGGAGAGAGAGGAAGGTTGAATAGACAAAAAAAACTAGGTTTCTGTCTTAGATAAGCTCAAAATCCAGAGGTGAGATAGACAAACACACAAATACATTATGATGTGATAAGGGCTTTAACATAGGCCCCTATAAAATACAGTGAGAATACAAAGGAAAGAGTAACTTACTACCCCAGAAAAGTCAGAAAAGGCTAAGAGAGGTGATGAGTGAGTTAAATCTGGAAGTAAGCAAAGAAGGGAAGGAAAGCTCTTCCAGGAAGAGGAAAGAAGATGAAGGCTTTTAAAAAACATCGCACACATAGGAAGAGTGAGAATTGCAATGTAGCTAGAAAACAGAAGTGTTGGGGGGAAAGGGACTAGATGAGAATTCTTAGGTAGTGGAATTAGGATGAAAAGAAAATCAATATTGTAAGGCACAGGGAAAAGAACCAGAAGAAACTGAGAAAGAAAAGCTAGAAAGACAGGAAAATAAAATGCTGTCTTGAAATTAAGGACAAAGAGAGCTTCAAAAAAGGAGAATTAGGCCAGATATAGTGGCTGACATCTGTAATCCCTGCACTGTGGGAGGGTAAGGTGGGAGGATCACTTGAAGCCAGGCTGGGCAACACAGTGAGACCCTATTGCTACAAAAATTAGAAAAATTAGCCAGGTGTGGTAGCATGTGCCTGTCATCCCAGCTACTCAGGAGGCTGAGGCAGGAAGATCACTTGAGCCCAGTCGTTTGAGCCTGCAGTGAGCTATGATGATGACACTGCACTCCAGCATGGGTGACAAAGCAAGACACTGTCTCTTAAAAAAAAGAGAAAGAAAGAAAGGGACTCTGGGACTGCTGGTACTTCTTTCCCACCAATGGCCTTTATACAGTCCTCATCCTCTAAACTTCTCTGCACAAAGTGTAGTGTTTACTATCCCCTCCTTGAAATACTCTCCCTTACCTAATTTGTATGAGACTATACTCTCATGATTTTCAATCCTCTACTGCATCTTCCAATTCTCTCTGTCATCTCATGGCCTCATTTGGTAATCTAATATATTTTCACCTTCAGCTATAAATGCTCTTTGGATACAGGGTCTATATCCAGTTCCAACCTCTCAATCAAGTCCCAATTCCTGGATTCCAACTGCATATTTTTCTTTCATTTTACTTTATTCTTCCCCAGCTTCCTTAAGGTATAATTGAAAAATAAAAGTTATATATATTTATTGTATACAAGGTGATGTTTTGATACATGTATACATTCTGAAATCATTAAACCAAGCTAATGAACATATCCATCACCTCACATACTTACCATTTTTGTAGTGAGAACACTTAAAATTTCCCTTAGCAATTTTCAAATATACAAAACATTATTAACTACATTCACTATGCTGTACAGTAGATCTTCAGAACTTATCCATCCTAACTGAAATTTTGTACTTTTTGACTAACATCTCCCCATTTTCCCTTCCCGCATTTGCAAATTAGTCTACTCCATCTCATTGATATCTGAAATCAATTATTTCCAACTGAACTCATCTATCCTGAAATTATTTTTCTTCCTATGTTGCTTTTTATATCAGAGGTACACCAACAATATGTCTTAAATATGTACCCTAGAAACCTAGCAATAATCTTAGATTTCCCCACCCCCTTGCCTAACTGGTTACAAAACATGATTCTTCTTTTTTTATCACTTTCTCTTTTTCATTCTCACTACCACTGCCTTCCCATTATTTACTGCCAAAATTATTGCAATGACCTCCTAATTGGTTTCCCAGCCTTCAGCCTCTTGTCTCTAAATGATCTTACACAGCAATGAGATTATCTTCAAGAGTACAACTCTAGGGATTTCTTATTCTCCTGCTAAAAAATAACTCCAAAATGCTCCGTGCCTATAGAATAAAAACCAAATTCCTTTAGCCAGCATTCAAGTCTTTCATAATTGGCACAATCACCTTACTAAACTTTTTTACCACTCTGTTAAGCACTTACAAATCTCCATATATGCCCATGTTTTCCAGCATCTTGGCTTTTTTATCTTGTTCTCTAATGCCTAGGAAGTCCTCCCCTCCCATCATATTGAATATCTAATCTTCTAAATTCAGTCTCAAATGTCTTCCTTGCTTCCCCATTCAAAAAATAAAATGAAATAATATTTTCCAATCCATTCCAATTTGAAGACAATCTCTTCTACTCCCTCAGTGCACTTTGAATGTACTTTATGTCCTCGTTCACCTGTAATAAATTTGTAACTATCTTGTAGTAGATTGTGAGCACTTGGACAGACCTCTTCACCCCCAGAGCCTCACATTACATCAAATACTCAGTAACAATTTAGGAAGGGAATAAATGGAATTATGCAGAATAAGTCTAATCCTTTTCCACATAACAGCTTTCAAATCATTAAAGCAGTAATTATCATATCTTACCCCTCACCTCTTCTCTTCTCCAGAACAATGGTGCTCAGTTCCTTTAACTATATGTGACTATTTTGATACTATACCCATACATCCACTGCCCTCAGCCTGGTCCCTGAAAACTGTGGTCCGCCAGAGCCTCCGAGCATAATAGTTATTTGTGAGTGGTGATCTAACCGCAGTGCAAAGCAGTATGCCTTCCCTAGTGCTAATCCAGGGAGGTTTCTTAATCTGAGACCTTTATTGAAGTGGAGAAATTCCGGGTGAGGAAAGGAGAGTCTGTGAACCTCCTCTGAAATTCTATGTAAAATTTTATGTGAAGAGATATTATGCACATTTTTAAAAAGGAGAAGAAAATCTTTTATTTTTGATTCCTCAAAGGGATGAGACCCCAAAAAATGTCCTCCTCAGCCGGGCCCACGGTGGGCTGCAACGCCTGTAATCGCTAGCACTCCTGGGAGGCTGAGGCGGGCCGGATTTGCTCGAGGTCAAGAGTTCGAAAAAACAGCCCTGAGCAAGAGCGCAGACCCCGTTCCCTACTATAAATAGAAAGAAATTATTGGGCGCAACTAATATATATATAAGAATTAGCCGGGGCCCATGTGGGCCCCGCATTGGCCTGTAGTCCCAGCTAACTCGGGAGGCCTGAGGGCAGGAGGATCGCTTGAGCCCCAGGGTTTGAGGCTTGCTGTGAGCTAGGCTGACGCCATGGCACTCACTCTAGGCTGGGGCAACCAAGCGAGACTCCCTGTCTCAAACAAAAAAAAAATAAAATGCCCACTCCTCCTCTTATAATAATAATAGCTAAGCTGACATTCACTTTCTCTGAAAGGCATATAATGAATTTCGCTTTAGTGAACATCTCTGGTCCCTTTTATCACCCCATCTTAATGCTGTAAAGTCAGGAACTTTAGGAATCTAAGAATAGGAGCTTGACTTCATTGCTGATTAGTTTCACTCGTTTCAGTCACTAGTCATCCAACCAGCCACTTTAACCCATTCCTCTGCAAAATCTGATAAGACATGCCCTCACAGCAACAGGCCCTCAACTCCCTTAGACAGAAGTACACATGCATGTAAGTGTGCACCTATTGATTGTATAATTTCCTTCCTATTCTTTTTTTAGACAAAAGTACTAGGCTTTGTGCCCAGGCTAGAGTGAGTGCCGTGGTGTCAGCCTAGCTCATGGCAACCTCAAACCCCTGGGCTCAAGCAATCCTACTGCCTCAGCCTCCCAAGTAGCTGGAACTAACAGGCATGCGCCACCATGCCCGGCTAATTTTTTCTATATATATATATTAATTGGTCAATTAATTTCTTTCTATTTATAGTAGAGACGGGGTCTCGTTCTTGCTCAGGATGGTTTCGAACTTCTGACCTCGAGCGATTCACCCGCCTTGGCCTCCCAGAGTGCTAGGATTACAGGCATGAGCCACTGCGCCGGCCTGATTTATAATTTCTAACAAGTTTTTTGTTAGTACACTTTAATCCAGTGATTCCTTAAAGTCAGCATCTGTGGCAGAGAACAAACCCCTGCAGCTATTAAGACAGAAAGTAAGTTCAGATTGGGTGCAGTGGCTCACGCCTATAATCCTGGCACTTTGGAGGCCAAGGCAGAGGGAGGATCACTTGAGGCCAAGAGTTTGAGACCAGCCTGAGCAACACAGTGAGATCACATCTCTACAAAAAATAGAAAAATTAGCCAGGCATAGTGTTCTACACCTGTAGAACTAGTTACTAGGGAAGCTGAGGCAGGAGGATC